CTCGGAGAAAAGGTGGCGGAACTCAAACCTGGCCACGCCCTCATCAAACCCTAGGACCGCCCCTTTAGAGAACAGGAATGCAAGTAAAATTTGGGAGGGGCTATTTCCGGTGTGGGAGGGGCTATTTCCGGTGCGGCCGGCCCGGAAAAAGGTGCCGGAACGCCGTTCCGCCGCGTTCCGGCTGAAAAAAAGCCCTGGGCTTAGGGGATAAGTATGTACAGTCAGGAAATAGAGACTCAGGAAGAGCAGTTGGAGGGCTGGTTTTCTGCCAGCTAATCAGTCTTCTGAAACCTGACATGACCTTGATGTCTTGGGAATACATCTCCTAAAATTCCAAGACAGCCTGCTGCTATACTGAAATGAATAAAATAAAACCATACTTTTTAAATGTTGCTTTGTTTCACTTGATGGAGTGAAGAACTATCAGCCAACGAGTTCAGATTGGTTACACTTTACCATCTGAGGTCAGATAGAGCCCAATCCCGCTTGACCTTCCAGAAAACATTGAAAACCTGGTTGTTTCCCCAGGCATGGACTTCATGAAGTTAGCGAAGCCTGGGTGGATTGCTCTTACATTGTGTTATATGATATGTTGTGTTCTGTTACCACTGCTTTGACTCTAATCTTTTTGAAATTCCTTTTTGAGTTATATGTTTTGAATTTCATGTTTTAATGGTTTCATATTGCAGCTTCCATTTAAACTTTGCTCAGAATCACTGCAGCGAGAGGCACAACCATATTGGCATAGCATATCATAGTATCTAGTATAGTGTACAGCAGTGGTGGTGAACCTATGGCACACGTGCCAGAGGCGGCACTCGGAGCCCTCTCTGTGGGCACACGTGCTGTTGCCCCAGCCTCAACTCCCCCCACGACCCCCTACTCACCAGTAGCCCCCCTGGAGGAGAGTCGCCCCCCCGAGTGTGGCCCACACGGAGCTGCATAGCCAAGGACATGGCAGCCAGACAGCGTAGACAAGACTCTGCCCTCACGCCCCATCGTGCACAGTTGATGAGGCCGCCATGGTGCTGCTGGGCTACCTGGGCAATCTGCGGTGGGTCCTGGAGGCGGTGAGTGGCCCTGCGGGCAGGCGGGGTGGGGGCGGAACGGGGAGGGGCAGGGGGTGGAGCAGGGGCGGGGCCAGTTTTTGGGCACTCGGTCTCTAAAAGGTTCACCATCACTGGTGTACAGAGTACTTTTATTTGTTTTAAAAT